TCTGATTCAAGAAGTAAAAAACATATTGTATAAGAGGGGTTGTCCATTATTAATATTAACTGACATACACGTTGTCAGAGTGTTAATTATCCAAAATAAATTTTTAGTCCCCGAAATCTCTAATTTTCATTTAATAAACTGAGTAAAATATATAAAATTAGAAACTTTATAACATTTTTATTTTAATAGCAAAATCTTTCATAACTGTTACATTGCTCCTTTGGTGATTACATAAGTATGGAACTTAGTGAAACTGGAACCTAAGGTGGGGATTTGGGATTTAAACACATCTAACATATTTAACATATCTGTATCATTTTACATTAAATATTAATTGTTTTAAGATAAAACTTTTCCATTGCTGATTTAGCTACAGAAGCTTCAGCCCAAGAGACAATTTTGGGGTTCTAACTCTACGTTAAAATATTTTGGACCGTTTTATATAAGGTATAATGGATTTTTTAAAGATGAAAATCTTTCATTGCCGTTCCAACTTAATGAAATTGGAGCCGAAGGCCGAATTTTGGAGTTCCAACATTTTTTGGACTATTTTACATTAGAAATGATGGATTTTTTACGATGATTATTGCTGATCATAACATAACTAATCATTCTTCCTCTTTTCTCCTCTTTTTTTTGGGAACAGCAAACTTCCAAAGAATATGGGAAACTCTCCCAAAGTAAAATATTGAGATTGAAACTCCCCTAAAATATTTTGGAACGTTTTATATTAAATATAATGGATATTCTTAACAATAAAATCTTTAATTGTTGTTTTATGATGATTGATTTTGCTAAGGTACGAAACTTAATGTAACTGAAACCCAGTGGAGTTCCTAGGGTTCAAATGTTAATAACGTATTTTGAACCAGTTTAAATTAGATAAAATAAATTTCTTTGACAATTAAATGTTTTCATATGAACTTTGAATCAGTTTTCAGAAATTTGTCTTTAGAAATCTTTGTATACGCACCTGCTAGAATTGCGTTGAATACATTCGGTAAAATTTATATTTATTGTATATGTATATAATCGTTATGATGTTGAATTCTTTGAAAGCATAATTATAAACATCTGCATACTTTAATACAGTTTCTAGCCTCATCCATACAGATTATGGGCTTAGCGCTGTTATCAAATATAAAATTCGGATCTATTTTAATTATCACATATAGCAAAAGGTGAAACTGTTTTAAAAATTTTCTTAATATCCATTGTGATCGTAAATACTATCATTATCTTCATTCGAACTATACATTTTCCTTACTCACAGTTATTATACTTCAATAAAATACCATATTTTAGAAATTTCAAATCTGAATAAGTAATCAAGTGATAGATTAGTGTTTTTTAAATTGTGTTACTATAGTTCAACAATGATCTTGATGATGTTAATTCCGATGATAGTGGCTTATTCTTATTAATCATCCATAAAAATTTATAGTTTTATAAAATATTGAAATTGTACTTATAACTTTCAATATAAGGTTATTAAATATAAATTTCAATATAGTTATTTACAAAAGTTGGTTGAAATAATTTTAATAATACTGTTATAATAGTGGTAGTCCTAAACGCGTTTATATTCATATTGTCCTATCTGTCCGATTCATATAAAGCAAACTGAAACCCTTCTTTTCTGAAAATCATACCTGGAATAAGATAACGAAGTTTTTAAATTTTTTTTTTTAATAAATGTTTTTTTATTAATTTAATATTGATTTTCCATTTTGCTAATTTAAAACAATGAATGCTCTTCTAATAACTACGATTTTATAGTTTTTCTCACCTGTAATTTATTAGTTAATTTGTTCGCTGAAGCGTAACGAAATAAAAAAATTAACATTTCAGTGCAAAAAATTATTCAGGAAAATCCCCAACAAATTACTTTCTTTGAAGAGAAAAATCCACATTTTTAACTTAGGTTTTATTATTTAAAAATAAAAACCCGATAAAATAAAATAATAAAAAAGTTGTTGGTTTTAAAAACATTTATCATATAAAACTTTTATTTTTAATTTCATAAGTCCAATGTAATTTACATCAATAGGTTATTAAAAATTTAAAATATTGTAATTTTATTTTAAAGTATTGTAAATAAAATTAATTTTTTTTAATTATAACTTATGTTTCTTTTTATATTCAATGCTTTTATTTCGATACTAGTTTTTTTTTTTTAAATTTAGTTTAATAATTATCTGTTTATTTATTATTAATAATTTTAATTTAATTTAATTTTTTTTTATAATTAATATTTTTATATGTTAATTGTAAAATAGAGAACTTTTTGAAACATTATTTTAAAATAAATATTTGTGTTAATACTTTTTAAGCAATAATGTTGATTAAAATGTAATATAATATTAGTTCAATTGATTTTTTAAAATCTTTATAATTATATACATTTTATTAGAAAAAGGAAATAGTAAAAAAATATTACTAACATATGTCTATACGCTTGTATACAGGATATATTCCATTCTGGTTCAGTAAAGTTTAGATTCTAAATCTTACTAAATCCGAATAATCCCATTAATGAAATATAAAGATGGAAGCTTGGTTTTATGAGAATTACCTATATATTTCGTTCAAATATGAAAGAATTTAAGGTGTCAGCTCATGAAACTTTAGCATTTATATATATAAATGTTCTGTTATTGTTTATAATTTACTTATTATTATTATTAGGCTCCATTCTCTCTCAATGGATTTGTTAATAAAATATATTTTCATATTTCGAGTAAAAAAGACCCAAATATTAGATACTGATGTAATGCTGTAGTTAATACTAGATTTAGACTGGTGATCTGATTGGTACAATATTTAAACTGGTGCCATGATTGGTTCAAAATTTAAACTGGTGACATGATTGGTACAATATTTGGACTGGTGACATTATTGGGTCATATTTGTTAAAAAATCAAAAAAAAACTGAAATGGTGCCATTAATGTCAGTTGAAAAATAGTTATGTATAATAATAATCATGATTTAGAGAGTTTTTGATTTGAACGAGATTGTGTTGCATATTAAGTTTTCAAAAAAATAACAAGCCCTTATGAGCGCACGTCGTCTATACTATATTGCCTTTAAAAGTGAATTTATGGTGTGACGTTTTAGATCGTATGATTGATCATTGGCAAAGTATTATTTGTGGAAGTATTTATTGCTTTGTATATTCATTTAAGTTGTGGACAATTATATATAAATGACGCAGTTTGTGAGACGTTTCCATAATGGTTTATTGACCAAAATCATTTTCCATCATCATTGTCCAAAAGTTATTCAAATTGTACGTTTTAAAAAAAACTTTATATATATACACTCTCTACTTAAGGTTCTGTATAATATCAATTGCTAAAGTGACTCAGTCATCCTTTTTCTTTTTTTTTTAATATTACTACGCCCCTAATTCATATAATTTAAGCGTACCTATACACTAAATTCTTTCCGATTGGTTTTTGGTACAATATATCACTAAATATTTTAACTATCATTGTGGTTTATTGAATTTGATTTGATTCCATATTGTGAAGTATTTCATATATACACATATATCGATAAAATTTACTTTTATCATTATATTGTACACCTTTATTACATATTTTATAGTCTTGTAAGCATATGTAATACCAAAGTTCATTTTAATTTGGAACCAGGTGATCTCGTTGCAAAGTCATATATTTTGCGTCATCTGATGCAATACATGAAAAAATTTATATCACCTGATGATTGAAAGTTGTATCTTTCGTTAAAAAGAGCTGAAATTACAAAGCAGCCAATTGCACAATATACCCTATCAACGTACAAATTTCTTGTCAATCAATCAGTTGACACTAATCAAATTATATCGTTTATTAAAATATTATTAAAGCATGATAAATAAATAAGCGAGACAAGTTCATTAATGTCTCTGCTCTATCTCTGAAACAAAATATTCACTAAACCACCATTTCGAGATAAGATAAATTTTAAAGGACAATATTTACTAAATCAAATACTGATAGTCAACGAACGAGTACAGATTAAAACACCCACAGACTTTTCAAAATTTATCACCTCATAATTTTCTAAATTACAACATATTTAGATAAAATTACGTTTATAATTTACAATGGCTTCCAGTGCTTCCATGCAATTGCTATCTATGGAATTGGATTGGAATCAAATATATTGTCTGTTCAGATACACTGCACACATCGTGTTGTTATCAATGCGTAGCAAATATGTTAATCAACTTTAGTTTTAGCTGATATAATAAAGTTTTAATATGTTATCTGTAGACAATTATCATGTGTATGGGGCAAGTGTACAGGCTGTCCAAATGACCATCAAAGTTGCTTAAATAGCACAGTACTCAGGGGGTTGGGCAGTATTCAGTATTATTTGGTAACAGCACGCAGTTTATGCTCAATCAATTAGCCTCACCGGGAGCCCATTTTCTTAATTATGTAAGTAGTACAGGGTGAGTTGGGTAGAAAAATCCTAGAGTTTAATACATTTATTTAAGGTTTGCAAAGATCTAATAAAATAATATATTTAGTATTATAATTTTAAAAGCACATCTAAAAGATGTGCTTTTACTTTATATTACATTATAAGTACCATACTTTATATGGTACGACATTAAATGGTGTAATCCTAACATTTTATAAAAACAGCCTAACAAAAATCTAAGTAATTAAAACATTTAAGGATTGTTATTACATATAAGATCATGTTTTTAGCTTCAATATATCAAAGTACTTGCTCGTATATTCAATATGTTAACTACATAAATACGATAATACTTAAATTTAAAAGGTGTAATCTTTAATTGTATAGTAAGAAATAAACAATATTGCCCTAAATGTAAATGCGATACCTTTTGGATATACCATCTTGCTAAAGTCTTGATACAATTAGCTGTCTTTTCAATTTAATTAAAACAACACTTCAAATACCACTTTTAATATATGCACATCTATAAAATATTTGTTCTAATTTTTCTATCTATTTCTAGAGTCGAATTTCGTATTAAATCTTCACCAAAGCCGGTGCATAACAGTAATCGTAATACTGTATTAGAGGATGAGTTGGCCTCTTCTCATCCTGATGATTTGTTAGCAGCACGCTTCGAGGAGTTTGGAACAACTCCACCACGAACAAGAATGAAAATTAAAAATCGTGATTGGGATCGAAAACAAAAAGCGCAGGCGGTTGTCTCTATAGGGTCGTAAGTTTCTAAAATTGTCATATAATATATGCGAATTTTTCATTTTAATTTTAAACTTAATAGTTGTGAGAGTCCTGCAGTTATGCCCAAGAAAGGAATGACACGTATGGCGCGTTCTCGTGTTTTGCGTCGAAACACCATGGACTGTGCGCTGTTGAACGAAATGTTCGTAAATGAGGAAACCAAACGTACTGACAAACGTGCTCAAGCTTTATTGCGTGACGCAGAGCGTGAAATAAAAAATGCAATGGCTGTACCTACTCCCAATTATCATCCTCGCGTTGTTAGTTTTCATGAGAGTCCAAATAATGTTGAATCTCTTGACAAGTGTTCGCCTTTACTATCTGAAAGTGCTGTACGTACAAGTTCAAAGATAGTAGAGTCATGCAACCGATATATGTGTGTTTCCTCACGTCCCATTGGCTGCCGTTCTTCAGCTCCTCCTTCTGCTTTTGGGCAAGGATTACGTGTAGATGTTAAACGAACACCTGGTTTAAATATACGCAAAGAATTTCACGAAACTTTTGCTAATTTAATAAAATTGGGTAGTGTGGATCGTCAAGAAGCAAAAGTAAGTTTTTCATATTATATTTTTATTACTTAATTTTTAATAGTAGTATCATTTTTGTCCATAGACTCCTATAGGAGTAACGGGATTTTAAATATTTTTATTTATACATTAATAAATATTGCAGCTTTCTCATGAAGAGCATACATGGCAAACGGAATTAAAGGATCTTATTTGGTTGGAACTACAGGCTTGGCAAGCAGATCGTACTATGGATCAACAAGATAAATATCTATTTGCAGCACGTCAGACCATACCTGAGCTGCTGACACAAATTATTAATTACACATTTCAACCACGATTTAAACGTCAGTTCAGTGAAATGAGTGTTGACAGCGGAATTAGTTCCGGCAGTAATGCAAGTTGTAAGTTTATCAAGTGTTATTTGCTAGTCTGATGTTCTTCAGTATTTCATATTTATATTATTTTTTTATAGCACCTTTACCTGGCAAATATTGTAATGGCTGTATGTCACTTTATTGCAAGGATTGTATGGAACAACAACAAATTGCCCTCAAAGAAGTTGAGGAACTTTTAACAAGACTTGAAGCAGCTGAAGCACTTTATCCTTCAACGCTGGCAATGGGTGCATTCCATCCTATATACAAAAGTGAATGTTTTGTAGGGCGTATAAAAGCTATGTGTCTTTGGTATAATATTACCAAACAAAATCAATTAAAGTTGTGTATACTGGGAAAAATACTGGCACGGTAAGTGGACAAGAATTGAATTAAATAATGCTTTTAAATGATTTTCATTAATTTCTGTTTTATATATTTAGTTTACAAGACAAATTTTCGTGGCCAGTACAAACTTCATTTACAGCTACCGACAGTGGTAATTCATCGTCTTCCGGCGTGGATTTTGATGATTCTAGTATAAATTCAGCTGAAGCTTCCTGCAATCAAAATGCACAACATAAATTATGTAGTGTTAATGTACCTAAAGTGCAGTTTCTTCTTAATGACGTTTCACATATACCTGGAGAGTCAGAGTCCTCAAGTAGTAATGAGTGCGTTATTATTCATAAATTTATAATTATATTTTAAATGTAATCTTAATACTTAGATCCGCTTTAACTGAAGTTTCCCCTTCACCGGAACCCAAACATATTCGTAAGAATTCCATGCACGATATAAATATATTTAGTGTAGAACCTTTGAGTAGTGCTCATGATGTAAACGCAGAAATCTCATGTGGTCTATATAGGTTAGTATAGATAAGTTTTAAAGATATTTACTTAAAATAAATATAAATGTATTGCTTTATAGAAAATTTATAGAAAATGTGCTTAAATCTCGCGGTCTCGCAAAGGCTTTCTCATTTTTGCATAAAATGCATAATATTGCACTCTATAAGGCACATATAGCACTTGAAAAACCAGGCACCGAAGATTATGACTTCGAAACAGAAATGCTGGATGAAGACATACCCCTCTTAGAGCCTGAAATAAGTCGAGAACAAATTGAGGAATTGCGACGATATGGCTATTGGAGTCACGAAGCCAAAACACTTAATTTACCTTCCTTCATTCCAACATTCGTATTTTTAAGTGGTACTCCCTTACAATTTATGCATGAATTTTTACGTATGCGTTTAGAAACGAGACCAATGAAACCAAATCCGTTAAGTCTTGAGCAACTGATGAAAGAATTGCGTGAAGGTTTAACGCTAGCGTTAACACATCGTGAAAGGTATCAAAGACATATTACAACAGCGTTAGTAGAAAATGAAGTTGAATGGGAACGTTATATGGGAATTCTTAATCATTTTGATGCAACTGTTCGTAAAGTTTTTGAGGTAAATTAGTAAAACTAAATATTATTAACATTTAATTAATTTTTTCTCGTAATTTAGCTTTATTTGGACTATATTGATCAACTTGTGTTAGTAACTGCACAGGAAAATAACCAGAAGTCTGCACTTGAGAAAGAATGGATGTTTACAAAGTTAATAAGTCCAATGATCACTGGCATGCATACACTAGCCGCTAAGAAATTTTGCAATATAATACGAAATTTATTACGGAGCATATCCCAACGACTTGTTAAACGAGCTACAGAGTTAGATAATCAAATAGATGATTCCTCTTTAAATACCGAAATAGATTTAAAATGGCAATTACTTACCGTCTGTCGAGATATTCAAACTCTGTTAAGTTGTGAGAGAGAACACTCTGTGAAAGTGCTTTTCTTTGCCAAGACTTTTTGTCGAGACGTTGAAGCTCAAGATTTTCATCGCGAGCATCTGGAACATGATTTAGTTGCAAATAAAAATGACTATATATGTACTGATATCAAAGAAGCCTTTCAACTATTACAAAAAGATGTTTTGGATGTAAGAAATAAACTTACTAAAATTATCGAACGTGTACAAGAACGCTGTTGTCCTGGTAATATGTCCGATTTGGATGATCAGGATAAGTTAGCAGTTTTATCACGTACACGCGAAATTTTACATCAGGGATACAAATTTGGTTTTGAATACAATAAAGATGTTATACGACTTTTTGAACAGCATATTATGGCTAATAAGGAAGGAGATTGTCAGGTAGACTTAGCGCTCGGCATCATTGCGTTTGCTAAAATGTGGATGCAATTTGTTACAGAGCGTTGTGAACGTGGCCGCGGTATGCGCCCTCGTTGGGCTTCACAAGGGCTAGATTTTCTTATACTTGCATGTGATCCTCAAATAACACGACATTTAGATGAGCAACAATTTGAAGAACTAAAACAACAAATGGACTGCTGTATTTCACATGTTATTGGGTTGACATCTGAACCAGAGAAAATAGCACGAAAAAAGGCATCTCCACGCACGCGTAAGACTTCTTCCCCAGCGACTAGTCGTTCACGTACACCTACACGTTCACCTATGTCAGCAGGCATTGTTGTTAGTCCCAACACACCGTTAAATTCACCACAATATAATAAGTTTCTGCACCCACAATTTAGTCTTAAAGAAGAAGTGTTGCAACAAAACGGTACTGCAACGCCTTCAAACAGTTCGATAGATTCTGCTGATTATTCAGACGTTGTTAATGGCAGCAAAACTGGTGATTTGCGTTTACTTGTACCACAGACACCACCAACCACTGTTACTAATGGCAGTGTTAACTTTTTGGCATTGCGGCAAGTACGTGTACGTGATGCTGTTAATCGTTTAGATATGGAGCTTGAAGAAAAGTTACGTGAGAGAAATCTTATAGGTCAAGTTAAGGCGCTAAATTCTTGTGATAAAATTCAAATTCGTGCCCGAAGTGTTCACTTTCATTGGCACCGTGGAATCAAGGTGAGATAAATACTGCTGTATAGAGCTGATTTTAATTTACTTACAATAATAATAACAATAACAATGTGTGCCAATAATTTTTCGCAGATTGGTCAGGGACGGTTTGGTAAAGTGTATACTGCAGTCAATAATAATACAGGGGAACTTATGGCGATGAAAGAAATCGCTATACAACCTGGTGAAACCCGTGCGCTTAAAAATGTAGCAGAAGAACTTAAGATTTTGGAAGGCATAAAGCATAAGAATCTTGTTCGATACTATGGAATAGAGGTGCATAGGGTAAGTATTGACTTAAAATATAAAACTCAGAAAGTTTGAAATATTTTCTATTATGGTTTTATAGGAAGAATTACTTATATTTATGGAGCTTTGTTCTGAAGGCACTTTGGAGTCTTTAGTCGAATTATCAGGTGGATTACCGGAGGGACTTACAAGACGCTTTACCGCTCAACTACTCTCAGGTGTTGCCGAGCTGCACAAACACGGCATTGTGCATCGTGATATAAAGACTGCTAATATATTCTTAGTCGATGGCAGCAATAACTTAAAATTAGGTGATTTTGGTTCGGCTGTGAAAATACAAGCACATACAACAGTTCCTGGCGAATTGCAGGGTTATGTGGGCACGCAAGGTAAATGCTTTGAGAAGTTATATTTTAGAATACACAAAATTAATCCTAAATTTTAACTTTAGCTTACATGGCTCCAGAGGTGTTTACAAAAACTAATAGTGATGGGCATGGTCGTGCCGCAGATATATGGTCCGTGGGTTGTGTAGTAGTAGAAATGGCCGCAGGCATGGTAATTATAATATGACTTAAAATAAAATTGTAAGTAGTACTTATTTTTTTTTATTTTTAGCGTCCCTGGGCACAATTTGATTCTAACTTTCAAATTATGTTTAAAGTTGGTATGGGTGAAAAACCTGAAGCGCCACAGAGTCTATCGCAAGAGGGACATGACTTTGTTGATCACTGCTTACAACATGATTCAAAAATTCGTTGGACTGCAATTGAACTTTTGCAACACAATTTTTGCAAGGTAATTTAAATTTTACTTTAATAATGCCTGGGTTATAAAGAGTTTTAATCTGTTTTATGTTTAGTATGGACGAGATGAAGAATGCAGTACAGAACATTTGCATGAACAAGCGCGACGTTCATTTCGCCGTAATATGAAGTTAAAATAATTGGTATTTAAGCTTTAATAATTTTAATAATAATTTATCTAATAACTATATGTGCATTTGTTATGTATATGTTAGTTGTAAATTTATTAGACAGGCAAATTTTTGCTAAGAACTTTTATTGTTGATGTTCTATTTTGACTTATAACAAACGTTATATTTAATCTTATTTATGTATACATACCGCGACAATACAAAATATATAATTTATATATACTTAATGAAAGGTGAACAATATAACTATTATACAATGTAATTAATTTATTATAAGAGACACTTATTTAATAAACAAATTAAGATGATATGTTTTTGTTTTAATTGATCTATAATGTATAAGTTTCAAGTGTAATCCATAATGAATTACTTTGATTCTGTACTTTTAGGGATTAAATTTAACTTATTAAAATATAACACAATTCAATACATTTGAATTACAATACTTCAATATATTTGAAGTATGAGCATGTTTTTTGTAAAACATATACTTAAATATGTTTATATTTTTATATTAGTTCAATACTTTTTTGTAGGTATATTATTTTTCTATTACCAGCATTAGAAAGTTGTTATCTTATAAAGGTTTAAGTATACTAAATATTATATCTTTTCAAATTTCGAATGACGAGCTTAGTAACTATTAAAACTGAAGTCGATGACATATATAAAAAAAATATATAATATATACCATTATTAGAATGTATTTGAAAACATTAGGTATACCAAATATATGTTTAAATTTTTTTATATACAATATATCCCGATTGTTCTAACAAATTAGTTTAAATGTTTTATATAGTATTAGTTTAGTTTTATTTATCTTAAATAATTTTTTGTTTAGGGTATATTCAAGAGTAAATGCAATTGATTACTTTTATCCCTTCGAATAACATTTCACTTATTGTAACATATATTATTAGTTATCATTATTATATTATAAATCGATTTTAAAGGTTTTTAAAAATGTTGTTTACTTTAATAAAAATTAAAGTAACGAAGTGTTTTGACCAGCTGAAAATAATTAATATGTGAACAAATACCAATACCGTAAGCGTATTAGCTTATAACACGTAATACATTTTTTAAACAATGCTTTTTTTCTTATATTTAAGAAAGGTGGCATCATTAAAATATAGCAAATGTGTAAGGCAAATTTTAATTGAAGAGAAGACTAGAATAATAGGGTAATATTACAATGTCTTACTCAAAATATGTTTTGTTGTTGTCGTTCTGCACTGTTATTACACACCGAGGACACCCTAAATTTTCGAATGTTCGAACATACTTGTAGTTTAAGCTATGGGGAAGCAGAATGGCGATACTAGTGGATATGAAATTGATTCTAAGTTTATGTAGCTTGTAACTATTTGTAAGTTAAAAAAAAATAATTGTAGAGCTGTAATTATAGTCGAGAATTTTTATTTTTTGTATTTTGATACTCAATGAAATATAGAAAAGGACTTTAGCCAATTATTTTATACCAATAATTTTATGTATTGTAATGTACTAAAAAAACATGTACATCCACTTTCAACATGTTTTTGAAAAAATAAAAAATGACGATACATACATAGATAATTTAATACAAATATATTATTTACTATTTTATTTAATGTATATTTTCGACAAAATAGTTAAATTTTTTTATATTTTATTTTTTATTTTTAAAAATATAAACTATTTTGTCGATTAATGAAAACCATCTAATCTATTTGGTGCTAGCAAAGTAAATTACTGACATTATCTTGTCATGAAGTAAGAATTATTAAGAATCTAAGTGGTTTATGTGTTCAATTAGCATCTTTACAAACTTTAATAAATAAAAAAATTCTGTATGTATGTTGATCCTTTTTCCGAGCCAGCGCAACTGGGCACTTTTACTTTTTGATAGCTGGGGGTACTACAGGGTCCCACCCATCTCATTGATTAATTTATGTATTGTCTATAAGCTTCATGATTATTCAGTGATTGATCTAAGATCTGCGTACCTCCCCGTGCGGAGAGTGTTTACTCTAAGATTAGATAGTGGTAAGTAGGATAGCCTGTCAATTTTCGCATATAACTTCAGGGCTCTGTCCCTTGTGTAATTTTTGATCGGGTCTATTCTAAGGTCTCTTAGCATGACGTTTGTGCGGATTTACCAAGGCACTTTGAAACGAAATATTTTTGTATATCTATATTAGAAAGAAACATTAAGATATATTTAATGTTCTTTCTTTTATTTTAAAATTAATGTTTGAGATTTTTAAATACGGTAAGTAGAAAATTTTTTAATTTCTAAAATTAATTTCAACATTTTTGATGCTTTCTAAATATTTATTTGGATTTTGGGTGGTGTTTTAAATTTAAGTTGTAGTTATATTATTGAAAAAAAGTGTTGTAAATTTTTTTTTTTATCATTTTTATGATTTTTTGGTAGAGACGGTACCATACAATGGTGTCACAGTACTGACTTTGGGTCCAGCTAAAGTTGTTGCAACGACTGGTGGACCATCATCATCACCGCCACCGCCACCTTGCTCTGGAACTAAAGTACTTGGAGTTGGTGGTGCAGTTGGCACCGTATAGATGGATGCAGAACTAGCAATTGTTGCCAAGCACACAAGGACTATGGCTATTAATAAACCCAATACTGAAATAGGAATATATATGATTAAATATAAGTGTATTATTTTATAAATATTTTATTTTTTAATAAAATAAACAAATTGTGTGTAATTTGTAAGGATTTAAAAATATAATATACTTACATTTCATTTTGGAAATTATTGTCTCTTTTATTTTTCCTCAAATAACTAAAGTATATATTTACACTGATATGTAATTAGTGACTGTCTCACATTGTACAAATCACCTGCTTTTATTGGATTTGCGAGGTTTATCTATTAGTTCCGTTCATTTATTTTATCTATGGATACATTTATTGGTATGGATATTTTAAACGAATTTAATTAAAATATATTTCTATCTCTTATCATATTTTTTGTACAAACATACTTTATTTTAATCAAATGCAGTGTAGGCGATAAAATATTTTTTATAAATGAATAAAATAATTTCATCAGTTTTTGTAAAGCAAAGTAAATTTATTCATGGATTTAGTTTTTACCTTCAAATTTTGCCTCAAGAAGTGAATTGATGAAAGCACCCAACTAAATTGAGTAGGGTATCTAATTGCGTATTTCAGAGTTAAATTTATCAATTTCCTTAACTTTTGATAAGTTTTTACTAAGAATTACTAAGAATAGATTAGAAATTATTTATTTAATTGCCTATCAGATCACTAATTTAAAATATTAAATATTACTCATATAAATTCTTATATATTTATATTTAAAAATATTTGTTTAATTATATTATATTTGACCTTTATAATTAACAAAATTGATATAATACAATCAATATGCAAATTATCAGTATAAACATATAAATAACTTTATTTCATTTTTAAATTTAATAGCGTTAGATAACCCATAGAGTTATACGAATTTTATTAAGTCAATTACTTCTGCATTCAAGACTATATTGAGTAGACAAAACATGACAAGCGATCTAGCTTTGCTTAATAAGGATATTCTTAATAATTTTAATCGAGTAATATAAAAAATAAAGTGGACTAATAAATAAATTTAATTGAATACATTTTAAAATAAACTGTTTTTTACGGATGTAATACGCAAAATAAAATGTTCTGTTTTATGATTTATTTTTAAAAATGGATAAAAATTGAAGGAATGAATCTCTAATTTGATAAAAAGTGAATTAAGTGTATATATATAATACTTTATATATACACTAATATTAAGTATATTTTAATATAAATAAATTATAGCTACGTTTAATGCAAATCAATGTCATTATTTTATTGCATCTTTATTTAACTACTACAAAGGACATTGAAGTCCGCAGCTATATAACAACAACACTTCTGAATATAATTTCTTATCAGATCGGACACAATAGTTCATTTTAAATGATCACTCGAAACAGGTAAATTACTTATTAAAATATAGAACGTACTTAAACGAATTCGCCTTAAGCCAAAAATAATGTATATGAATATGATTGCTATTGAACTAGAAATACTTGAGTGTTACAAAGACCTGATTTATTGTTATTTAAAAGTATTTCTTCAAAGTGTTTTTTTCAACATCCTTAATCTGTTTAGTGTTATGTCATATTAAGTTTGCAAAAATGATTATAATACAAGATATTAGACGTCGATGTATTAAGGGCTCACGTTATTTCTTGTTCAGCTTAATGAGACGAATATATTCCGCAATAATTGCAAGCAAGCTATAATATTTCGAGTACTCATAAAAAAGGATTTTTTAACAATAGACAGCAGTTGCTTAAATGGGCCAACTATGGTTAACTATTTGCTATCGTAAGGCATGTTACGAAGATATATAATATTCGAGTGTAATATATATATACATCGTGCTTATGCGACACGTTCATTTTAAAGTAGTAAATAATGTCATTAAAATAGAGAAGATAGCCTAGCCATACAACATAACAACAATTTTTAAAAAACCTGACAGAAAGGGTAGAAATCGAAAAAAGGAAGAAACAACGGACTGAATATAGATCTTGAATAAATTAACATAATTAATCGAAAAAAACTTAATGAGAAAATAATTAGGAATTTATTGTACAACAGACTTAGGTCTTCTATGGAGTGTTTGGATATAATCGTAAAATCAAAGTAATATGTTTTTAATTACATTCATTAATACAATTGTAGAGTTTTGTTGGGTGTTAACGCAAGTATATGACTATTTTAGGTTTAATCTCACTGTTAATAATAGAATATATATTTTTCATATTTCTTAAATAATAAGTAGGATAGGATAGGAATAAACGGGGTACTAGCTCCAAACGGAGCGGCTCACTGCAGCCATAATTGATCTTTTGTGGTGCAACAGACCCTAACCGAACAGAACAAATTCCGCCTTTCGAATGAAAGCCAGAATTTCCGCCGTTTAAGATCTCCTTATATTAAAAGGGGAGAGTAGTTCTCAACCCAGTGACCTCCTCCTGGCCCTCCTCCTGGCCCTCCTCCTGACTGGAATAATAAATAATAAGTTTATTTTACGTAAAACACATGAAGTCTGTTTTTTTAAATGAGTTCTAATTTGAATAACCATATAATTATTTTAAATATATTTAACAGAAAAATATAAACAAACATTTTATGAACTTGTGGGTGAGTTAACATATTTATTAGGGATTTGAATAAATACAATTTAATAATTATTTTTAATAGATTCAAATTAACATTTAGAAGACTTTAAATAATTAACATTAAATAATATATTCATATCTTTTTAACAGCTTTATATAGAGGAATTCAATACTTTAAATAGTAAATAAGTATAATTAACTAACATATATTTTTATAACAATTTCAGAAAATTTATTAAAATACATAATATATGCAGGTCTATAACAACAAAAAAATAGCATAGTAGCTAAGCTAATAATAAAACTTTTATATTTAATATAACAATAACAACAATGAACACAGTACTAGGTCAGTAACGCATACATTTATATTAGCATATACACATGCATAAATATTTTAATATTCACATATATGCCAATTTCACATTAAAAATTCATTTAAATTTTGCTACTATATACCTTTAACATTAATATATGTATCTATATTTATTTTTTTATTAATAATTTTTTTTTTATATATATATTACTTCTTCTCAAATATAATTTTCTATACTTTTTTGGTAATCAATATATTTTTTGCTATATATAGGATAACTTTAATTTTTTTTTATTAAATACATATAATATGTATTGTATATATACTTCTCTATATTGAAATATATATCAAGTTTACTAAAAATATTTAATTTTATTAATTACGAGTAATTTGTTTTTATATGTTGTTGATATGTATTGTTACTTTCAAGTCTATTTGTAGGTATATACGTATTATTTTTATTGAATATAAATAGTGTACTTTTTTTTTAAATGTACTAAATAATTTCTATAAATATAAGCAAAATTACTGATTTTATCATATGATAATTAAGCAGCTTATTATTAACTTAATATGGAGCGTTTTTTTTAGAATTAATTAACCATAATCAAAAAATTAAATTTTAAACTTATTAAAAGTACTGCGTTTTAAAAGTTCATTACCGTTTTGTAAGATACAGAAGTGTATAATTTTATAACATTATAAACAATTCAATTTTAAATTTTATTTAATATGCTTATAACATTATTTTTTACACTTATAAATTTTTAATTTTTTATATAAGCTCTAAAATTCAAAAATTTTATTTTGATGAAAAGATTTCGTTCGTTTAGAACTTGTATCTCGGGTCTCGGGTCAGTCATACTGATTTATACGAATGTCTATACAATTTTAGCATGTGCTTAAATATATTTCTCTAACTTTTCCATTTTATCTATATTGCTTTTTTCATTTTAAAATGTATTGTTTTTTTAATAGTTAAAAGATTTTCAATTGGTGTATATTTAGACATTTTTTCAAAATTGCAGTTTCAAGTATTTAATGAATTAAATAATAATTATCGCACTTAGTACAATTTTAGGTATTTATACATAATATACATTGTGACCGAAAAGCTTTCGGAAATTCTCATTTAAAATTGCTGTATATTTTTCGATATTTTAAGTTTATGTAGTTTACAGATGCAATTACTATGCCAAAATGGCGCGATCTGTACTTCTACGGCAGCTGTTAAACCAGTTCAAGTAGTTTGCAAACAATAAAAAATTTAAATCTAAATTGTTTTAAAATTCGTTCATTTGAAGTACAAAAGTTTATCATTTTATAAATATAATTCGTTTAACTTTACTTAACATGCTTCTACGATTATCTACACGAGAAATTGAAAAGGCAAAAAATAGCTCTAAAATTCATAAATTTTAGAGAGATGAAAAGATTTCGCTCGTTTAGAACTTGTATCGCGGGTCAATCCACGAAGTTATCACTCAAGTTATTATACATTTCAGTATAAAGCCAAACTGATAAATACAATGAACACGTATTCATACAATTTTGCATAAGTGCTTATACATATTTCCTAACTTCCATTTTATCTATAATGCTTTAATTCATTTAAAATGTATGGTGTTTTTTTTAATAGTTAAAAGATATTCAAAATTGGTGTATACTTTTAGCATTTTTTCAAGATTGCAGTTTCAAGTATTTAATAAATTAAATAAAATAAAATTATCGCACTTAGTACAATTTTAGGTACATTTATACATAATATATATAATTTTATTTGCGCAAATAAATATATGTGATTTAGTTTTATAATTATTTTTTCATACATTGATAAAATTTTCAATTAAATTGAGATTCGTTTGAAGATAAAGCGTTTGAAGAGCACAGAATATTGTAGATACAGTTAAAGCTCTCTTAAGTGGGCCCGTAAAAGTCTAGCGATTCTGTCTAGCGATTAAGAAGAGGTCTGTTTATAAGAGAATCTGTTTAACAGAGCCTTCACTATATAAAATTGGTTAAAGTTTATAACGACAGTAAATAAAATTACCCTTAATATGATTAACTAATAAAAACATTAGAAAATAGGCGAAAGTGGGCGAAAATAGGTTACGTAGTTATTCTCAATAACAAGAAAAAAAAAATATTTTTACATATAATACTAAAATATTGAGGTTTTAACATTGCAATTGTTATCATGATATTGATCTATACATCGTTTTTGTGAAGCCTAGTGCTGTCTTTACTCTTATTATGTACACTGCAAAGAAACCGAATACATATTAAGACTCAATTTTTGGTGGACTTTAAATAAATGAAAATAATGAAATTAATTGTTAGTGTGAATGGTAGTGTGATAGTTAAAGCCTCACACAATGTGTACACAAGAAGTTTTAGTCTTTTGTGTTAATATATATATGTGACAAAAAAAATATTTTAAAGGTTTTTCAAGGGTGTCAAAATTTATAAATAATAATCTCTCTCATATAATAAAAATATTTCCATTGCAACTATTTTTCTGGCTTCTTTAATAAATAAAGAAGAATAATAAACATTTGAACCACATTAGTGTATATGTTATTTAGATTTATATAAATGATCTGATATTTCTTTTGAAAACTGAAATTTTACAAATATTTTTAAAATTTGGGATAGTAAATGAAAAAAATCATTTAACATTTGTGAGGCAATTAACATATTATTAACAGACATATTAATTCTGATTGCAATAACATCACACCTCTGGGTCTATTAAATCAACTGAAATAAAAAAAATGAATCCTATTGAATCCCTTATAATGATTAATGAATATAAATAATTGATATCGGGCTATAATTTTGTCAAATTATTTTAATGTTATTATAATAATAATTTATAAATAAGTCGACTTAATATTTATCGTTATTCACTATATATAATGTGCGTATCTTCTGTAATTAAATTATGTTATTATTTCTTCAATATTGATTTTTTTGTTTAATAAACATAACAATGACTAAATTATTTTTAAGCGTATATAGGTTAAATTTATAAATTATATAAAATAGAGTTAACTTATAACAATGAAATATTTTTCAATTTAATTTGATACTAGTTTTTTATGTAATTTATTTTTACATCATTTTTAAATTGCAACATTTTGCATAAATTTTTCTAAAATATTATAATTTTTATTATATTTAATTGACCAAAGGTTTTGTTTTTATTATAACAATTTGTTTTCTAACATTTATAAGCAACATGTAATTATATTTTTCTATATATATATATATTTTTTTTTTTCATTTTATATAAAATAGTAGACTTCGTGATATAAATGAATTAATAATAAAAATAATATATAAATAATTAAAAATGAATTTTAAAAATAAATGTACTTCCAACATTTTAAACAAATATTTTAAAATAAAAAAATGTTTAAACAAATAAAATAGAATTAAAAGCATTTTAACTTTTATAAATAGATATTAAAATTAAGTTCTTATAAAATAATAGCCAAAATATTTTATATTTGTAATTATATTTAAAAAAAAATACTTTTAAATAAAAAAGAAATGTTTTAATTTTTTTTTTCTATTATGAATTCAAAAATATATAAGTTTTAATATAAATATATATTTAAATTTATTTTTATTTTTATTAATCAACCAATCACAATAAATAACAGGAAATTAAATAAATAAATTAATATTTTGTACGAAAATATGAAGGCTACTGAGGTTTAACTTGGATATGGCAATATTGTAGATCCAAGTGAAGTAATCGGATATCACCGCAAAATTCCTTACGTTTCATATAACTCTTTCAAACTGCGTTAAAAATAAATAATATTAAAACCATTAACTTTGTTTTTATTTTTAGTCAGTATCACATTAGACTCAATGGACAGATTTTTTTTTTGATGTTAACAATTTTTCCAAAACAAAAGTGAATGTAAGAATGATAAATAGTTTGAATTTTGATATTATATATATGCTTTATCCGAAAAGCTTTTATTAAAAAAATTTTTTATTGTACATATAAACTGACTTTGATAGCCAGGTGTTCATATAAAACTATGATCACACAGTTCGGTTACAAAAACATGAAGACTATAAAGTTTAAAGATTGCCATGTGCTGCCAATTGCTGCGGTGCTTACTTAAATGCTTTATAATCCTTTTAAATTCTTTATTCTTTAAAAGAATTATAGATTGACCTCAATGCCCTGTAGGGGTTTATAAAAACTAGGTATAAAACAAGTTTTATTCCATTTAAATTGTTTATACTTCCAAATCAAAAACTAAAATAATTTAAAGCTAAATTATAAATGTATTATATTAAAAGTGCTTAGTGATGGAGAAGTTCACTATATGGTTATAGTTCTTGTATACGTTATATAAATATTTATATAATTTTAACATTTTAATATACAATACAACGCTACTATATAATTTTGTAATAATTGATTCTCTTCATGTAGATTTATAAATAGCAATGATTTTTTAACTATAAGTATATATATAATCTCTTTTAACATTTTTCATAAATATTCTTTTAATCGTTTATATTAGTTAATACTAAATAGTTTAACATTTCATAAAACCTCTTGATTACATCTAAGTCATTGCTTTTGTAAATATTTAACTAACTTAATTGTTGATATGTATTTTGTTGATTATCATTTATATATAATGATATGTGCGGTATTATATACTAAAGAAAATTTTTTCTACGTTTAAGGTACAATTACTGATATGTTTTGTTGTATTTTGGTAACAGTTGTAGTTTAATTTTGTAACAGATCACGCATAATATCCAGAGTATCTTTCAGTGATTTGGCATAACGTGAAGCACTTGTGTCTTCACAAGAGTAAAATGCTGAAACACAAAAGACTATCTGATCTGGATATGGATTGTAGGAGCAACCGTATCCTCGTGGTGTTACAGGACCATAGCCCATAAAGCTGTCGGTACTGCAGGGTACCTGATTAATTTTAATATTATATGAGTTTTATTATATAGCACATTTAATCAAAATATATATTATAAAGCAGTGAATTTGTGCATAAAAACTTACACTGATTGAAATTGCGATGAATAGCATAGTGTGGTGCAGTTGTGCTTTAAAGTACTTTAGGGTGTATAGAAATACAAGTGATTTATGAAAGAATTCAATATCAAAAAATGTGCATTAAAACTATGTTCATTAGTGATTTACAATGTACCATACTAAATACAGAAATAGTGTTATAGATACTTTTTTATAATGAATTAACAATGCATATTCAAAAAAATAATATACTTGCAAAAATAATAATGTAAATAATAATAAAGAACGCCAATTTTTTTATTTTAAAACTAACTTTTTTTATTTTTAATAAAATGTAATTCTAATATATTTAAAAAAATTAAAAAATTTAAAAATATAATAAATTTGTATTTTTATAATTTAAAATTTAATATACCTGACTAGTGGATAATAAGAAACAATTAGCTATGTTATATGATTCATCGGTAAAGAGTTCATGTAATTCACCAGTTACTTCTTTGCTAGCTTCACGCAACCCAAGTAATGGTATATCAATGCCATTACCTAGAATATTTTGTACCATTACTTCTGTTTGACGTGCTACTGCACAACGGAAAAGTTCACGTAAATGATCCTTCTGCATTGATAATATGGTAGAATATGGTAAATAACTTTATTCTGATATTATAGTAACTTACGCTATAAATGCTAAACTTCACCTTACGGGTGTCATCTTCGTCTTCGCGATCGCTCTCTAAGCCCACATTTGCTCCTTCATCTTGACACATAGCTTTTGCCCAGTCTAATGCTTCAGTACTAGCAGCCCGTATACAATCAACACGGCCCTAAAAATATGGAAAAAATGTTGTAGTAATTGATATTAGTAAATGTATTTTTATAAGTCCATTTACTAACCAATAAGAAACGTCTGGTAGAAGCGCTTTCATAGGTTGCCACCAAATGCCCATAAAGTCTGTATACATATAAATGTTTAATTTTTTTTATTAATTTTATATTAAAAAATTAAAAAATATTTCTAATCATTATATGAATTATATTATATTTTACTTTTTTTGTGATTATACGTATATGTGAGAAATTTGAATTGATCTGTTATATTTATCTATTTTACAGAAAGACTTAAAATCACATATACAGATTTTTTCTTAATACAACAAAGAAAGAGTTTAATTACGATTAAGGTTTATCTTCAGTTGTTATATATGATAATGACTTTAATTCTTTATCCTAAAAATAATTGTAGTTAAGGATTTTATCATTTTGTCTAAGGAATTTATTTTATTTTCTTTCAACAAAGAAAAAGAAGTCATCAATACTATATGTAACTATAACTATACTATACTAGGTATATGCTGTTGTTGAGTAGTCCTAAGCTGTAAAGTTTCGGTTCCATATTGTTTATATTTAATAATTTTTCTAGATTTTACTTATAAAAATATGAGAAACTTTCGAAAGATATTATACTTTGGTATAAAATAAAACTGGTTCGATTTATGACAAGTTTGAAGACCTTTGAGTTATATTCAACATCTGTATCAAAAATTTCATAGCTTTGTTTCTTTAATTGCTTTTGATATTGCTTTCAAAAAATGATTAAATAATATATATATATCAAATGTGGTATCATTTTTTAGGGATTTGAATAACACATATTTTGTATATAAAACCTAAATTACTTTTTTCCTATTTTAATTTGTTATTACTTACTTAAAATGAGCTAATTGCAAAGCAAGTTGTATGTAAACATCTGGACTAACTTGGCACGATTTTATGAAACTTTTTCCATAGCCTCTATAACGATAGACATAGAAATCCAAATTATCTATTGCTCTGAAATGAAAAATTAATTTTTAATTCTGTCTAGAATTACAAATGAAAAAACACCAACTTATTGACAGTAACTGTTGCCTGTGCAAAGCGTTTATTTATTTCAGATGGTATGTCCCATTCTAAACGTTCGGGTGGTGGTAAGTGATGTTGTGGTACACCATTATTATCAGTAGGATGTTCAATAATATTTTTATATATCTTCTCTAATAGTTGGACAACAGCTAATCCTTCCGATGAGGAATGCTCATAGCAAAGACCCCAGGTGCCATCATTACAAATAATTATTTGCATAGTTTTATCGAACCAACGATTTCCGGAATTATATTCACTGCCACCGCCATGTATCATCTCATGAGCCATATTTGTTTCATCACGATTGCAGGCATAATGAACTGATGTTTCAGCACCATTGAAACCGCAGGCATTAAAGGTGAGTGGTAGTGGTTCATCTAAGCATAAAACAAACAAAGCAGTATCAATTAAATCAAGTATGCGCTGATTACGCTCATCCAATTGTAAGGTGGCACGATCTTGTGCCCATAATGTACGTGGCTCAGCGCTAAGTAGACCAACTGGCGGCGGCTTCGCTGGCAGACATGGTGCATCGCTTAACACATATAGTATTTGCGAAGCTATTTCACTTTCAGACAGTTTACCTCGATCACTGGCCTTTAGTATTACGGAATACATTTGATTGCGACACATAACAATGACGTGTTGATCGTCAGTCTTTTGTTGCGTATAAAATTGTGAGTCGCGATCTACTCCTGGACGACGACATGAACCTAACAGACGATAAAATTGTGCCATACATAGCGGTTGATTTTTCTCACGTGATGCAGTACGTTCGATAGGCAAACTTCCACTGTGAATTATGTTGAAAATATTAAATACTGTATATTTTGTTAATACTATATTATGATTGTATACCTATCAAGCAATTCTTTATGCTGCATTATGCCATCTATAATACGTGCAGCAAACCGTGCCACATCATGTACAGTAACAAAACGCATAGGTGGCAATACCATGCCAGGATTAGAATTGATTGGCAGTGGTATTCGTATGTCCATGTACATGTCATTCAGCCAATAGTTATATGCCTGCAAGAAATAATAAAGTATATTCTAAAATTGTTGTATGATAGTATAGACCAAATGACATTTATAATTCAATAATATACATAAGTACTAACTCTGGTAAATAACTATAAAAAATTAAGTATAATTTTTTCTATATTTTAGATTTCTTAGTCATTACATTTTCCGAGAAACCCATGTTGATAGGAAAAATTGTGTGAAAGAAATAAAATTCAATCTTTTTAACATTCTTGAAGTTTGGGGAAATATTTTCAAATTCTTTTATCTATCTTATGTCGTAACTTTGAGTTAAAAACTAAATTAATTTTTTTGATATCTATTTGGTATCATGTTAACATTTCGAGGCATTTTATGTAATTAACATTAACAAAAAAAAATTTTAATTACGTTTGGATTTTTGGTACTATTAAAAAATTTATTCATTTCGTTGTTAATCGGTTTCCATTATACCACAATACTTTAAACCTCTTTAGATATATATATATATATTTAGAATGTGTTTGGTTTTCTGATAATAAAAATATCACATGATGAAAGTCTGTTTTTGATCAAATTTCCCAAAGCGCACGACCCGTTCATGTTTCATAAATATTTATGATGTAGGCAATCCTTACCAAGTTTGTTTATGTTAGATATTTTTTTATATAAGCAGATATATTGGTCTGTTTTACAGCTCATATATCACTTAATTTATGCATTAAACTAATTCTGCTGTTGATTGAGTGACTGTGTATTCGCAGTTGGAAACATAGTGATCCGTCATTGAAGTTGTCATAGACAGATACTTAAAGTTCGACAGACCCAAATGTATAAATAATTTAGTAATTTGTCTTCAATAACACATTGTGTATTTGTCTTCAGAACTGGATGTGTCCATCTCTTGCACAACGCCAGTGCCAAGTAATAATACTTGTTCGTAGCAAAGTTTATCTTTTTTATTTCATTTTCAGTTAATTTTTATCACATTCATATTTGCATCTTTGCTTGTGTAATAGTTTAATGTTGCAGATTCTATCCTCAGACAGTTTTCAGGCAATGTCATCAAGCAAAACATGGACCACTGGGTTCATTTTAAATTTGAAAGTGCTTCTTAGCGTCTTAAACTCGTATTTAAATAAATGTGTATTAACTAATACATTAATATTACATGTGTATTAAATTCGTAAATTAAATTGATAAATATGACATAAAGATATATAATGACCATTTTATGAGTACGTCTCCGTGTCCACTTTCATTTATAAATCGTGGAATCCAATCTTATATCAGCATTTAATATGCGATGGTTAATTAGGTTTTTAATTCGTTTATTCATCAGAAGCCGGCAAACTTCTAGCTTAAATTTTGCATTTCCGATAGTCTTATTATACAAATATTCTCAATATAAAGGAAAGTTCAAAATTTCAAACTTCTTAAACATATACAGATTACTTAGAGTGATAAATTCATATTTTCGAACATGGTATCGCAGTTTCTAATTAAGTCATTGAGCATTTAGGTTATTTAGTCTAACATAAAAGTTTTCGAAGTATCATAATGGGTTAATTTTAAAAATGACTACGGAATCTCATAGATTTGCATCTACTATTTACAGACTCTATATATCTTAATTTTGAAGTTCCACAAAGAGAATCGAATATATAGCAAATGAAATCCGTATTTCAAGCAATAAACTTTAATCTATGTTTTTATATGATTAGTTTTGGATCCGTTCTAGGTATTTCTCTAAATTATTTTTCATTTGTAGTAATATTTGTGCTAAACATTTATTTTTTATTCTTTTTAATAATTATTTTCCTTCTTATTTTGTTGGCAAACAAGCATTTGTGCCATTCTTCAGAAATTCAGAAAATACAATCTGCATTCCCAGAAGTGAATGACGTATATTTGTTGTTTTAAAGATCAATAAACAAAATTGAAATTGAAATTGGCATCAAAATAATTACGAATAAATCAAAAATTCCCCATTTAAATTTCCGTTTTTACGTTCTACGGTGCATCAAACTTAAAAATCAAACAGTCTACATATTTTATTTTGACTGATATGCCTATAAATTTTCTTATCAGTTTGAGACTCTCTCGGTTGGAAATTGCTTTTACGCTTAATTTGGAGTACAATTTTTTAAATAAAATAATGAATGAATCAAAAGTTTATATATTTCGAAAGAATTCTCTACTCGTCTGGAAAAACAAAATAATTTCGTAGAATGAGTTGTATTTCCATGAACTAGACATACATACCATATTTTAATTAACTATAATATGTGACAAGATCTGTCACACAGCTAAATTAGTATACTGCAGATATTGCATATTTTGGAATAATATAATAAACAAATATACTTGCTAAAATACTATATCAAGTATTGATATTCGTAATGATATCAGGTTAAAGTTAAAGCTAGTTAATGCATATGCACGTTATTTAATAAAGGACTGTCATAATGGAATTTTATGAGATAGCCTCAATGAGTTATGAGATTGCCCCAATACCATGGTAAAATTTCAATCCCTCAAAATTGTTACTTTCCAATAATTTAAGATGAACTTTTATGAGAACCCAACACAAATAGGGCTGGAGTTTTTTCAGCATCCGGTCTCTTGCCTCACCTACATTTTTTGCTGCTGGTAATAACAAGTTTAAATGCGTGTATTGCAAGGAGACAATGCCTAGTTAAAATATTGGGTAGTGTTTTACGATGATTTTGATCAAATGATAACAACTGTTCATTTAATAATTTTTTATTTCGCACATAAATCTAAAAAAAATATTAATTTGATCATCTGCAAGATTGATGCCAACATCAGCAATATCATTAGCTATGTAGTGTTCCTCTACGTTGCTATGACGGGGTACCCATTTACTACTGAAAAATTTTGGTTAATACCCAGTATGAAGAGATTATTTTATAGCCGTTTGTATATCTACGAAGAAATTTATGATGAAGTACCCAATAGGTAGACACACAAATCATGATCATATAAACCATTACTTATTATTGCCGACAATTTTTGGAAATTCTGACAATTTTGGTGCTGTCATTTAATATGATTGCATATAGTTTTGTTTCATAGATGATTGTAGAAACAGAAATTGGCAAATATTTGTAGATTCTAACATTATAAACAATCAAGATGTAAAAGGGAAATTTGATTTTGTATGCAATATTATTAAACAGTGAATAATTATAAAAATAAATTGGTGCAGTTTGAAAAAACCGTATTATTGGGTAAAAATAAACATATAAATCAAAAAAGTTATTATGTAGAAAAAATATTCAAGTTTAGGGTAGGAAAAGTACAAATAATTGAAAAATAAACTATCTTTTGATGGATATAACACATCGGCTGATAAGTTCAAAGAATAACCAATTAAACAACAACTTCTTGACAAAATTTGACTTTCTTCATTAACGTAGTTTTCTTGAAGAGTAATACAAGCATTCCAGTACCTCTCTGACATTTGGATACATCTTTTGTAGAAAAATTTGTCTTTGGCCTTAAAATAGGTATTTGTTTAGACAATGACTAATTTATTGAATACATATATATCTGCGTTAAGCATTTTTTTTATCTATAAACAGGTGTTAGTAGCTGAGGACTAAATCTAATGAAAACGGTGGATGCGGAATTAATGCGATAATATAGCATAATCGATTATTATATTCCAATTACATAGTATCATACTGCTAAGTCAAAGTAATGAGTCGTCATCATTACTCAGTAGTCATGTAACAATATATACTTTTAATTTGTTAGATGAAACGTATAGGTATAATGAATTCCATGTATCTGTCTGTCAATATGTAGTTTCATATATTTTTATTAATCCAGATAAATCAAGTCGGTACATAGAATATTGTATAAGAAGAATATTGTAAAACTATAATATGAAGAATTTAGGAGACGTCGTTAATGATTTATTTAGAAAGTTCATCTGCCTATCTATCATTCTATCTGCTAATAATCAAGCAGAAACGCCCAAGACGCATGTGGAGGGTTTCGATTACAATCACGCTTCATAAAACTGGATTTTTAAATAATAATGATAATATGATAATATGACAATTCATAAATTTTATATTAAAAATTACTTAATATACAAGAATGTATATCAATTAACAATTTCTCTACCTTATATTATATATAGTTTTCATTTTAATAATAAATTATTGTGTAGTAAAGTAGCAATATATTGCTTTTCTTAAGCATCCACAAGGTATGTAGTGAACAATCATTAATATTGTTTGTAGTTACTTATAAAATGCGTCTAAAATCAAAATGCAATTTACAAACCCAATTAATTGTATATGTAATACATACCACTATAAGATCCTCACCTTATTATATCTCTATGGCTTCTATAGAAATTTATAGAGTTACGTTAATATTACGTTAATATAGTTACGTTAATATTTTTAAAGTACATTCATAATTGAAACTAAGATTCACATCAGTCAGTTTAATGTGTCATTGATGCTATAGATTTCTATAAATATAAATCTATAAACATTATTTCAAATTGGCATTGTATTTAAGAATAATAGATTTCTAAATTATTAACGTCTATACAAGAATTCTTTGTCGTAGTATGTATTACTGATCATTAAATTCTTAAAATTGGTTTTAAATTAAAAGAGTGTTAACTTTTTCTTCATTTTCTCCTCATAAAAAAAGTTTGTCTTTAATAAAAATTTTTCACTCATAAAAAACATTACAAGGCATTAGAATTACAAGACATTATACTTACAAGGCATTAAAAATGATGCCTATAATTCTTCCACTTCCTGAATGTACAAACATTTTTAATGACTATATTAAATTTTATGTTTTTTAAATATTGGTAAATTCTACATATAATACATAATTACTATTTCCTGTTATTTAAAACGTGTTCCATGTTATTTATTATATTTATAAAACTAGGGCGTTGCCAATAACATCTTAAGGGTGTGTTACGTTAACCTTTTTCAAAAGAATTCATTTTCAATTCTTCTTCATAAATGTTTTATAAAGTTCATTGTCAACATGAAAGATACTTATTTTTATCAAATTGTATTAATTTTTATTTTTTGGCATTGTACCTATTTTAACTAACATTTAAATTTGGAAAAATATATAACTGACAATTGATATGCGATATCGCTTCCTATCTGCTATCAAAAGCAATGAGAAAAAAATCTACAACATCTTAAAATTATATATAAAAGTCAAAAATATAATGTAAGTATAAATATTGTGATACGGTCCAAAAATATATCAGTTCAGCAATTTCATCTTTTAAACATCGATATTACCCGCAAACGAACGCACGACACGAAAAGATGAAAGGTAACTTATTTAATTGGAAGAAGTTTAAAATGTGTACTAACTTTAGTTTGTGTTTATTTAGTATTGGTAATAGCTTTAACATTATGCTTTGCGGCAGTGGTCTGTGCACACAAGGACTATCAGTTAAGGTGCACAAAACGTGAAGTTGGCATACGCTGGCCAAGTTATTTTAGTAATTCTGAATATTATGTTTGTCAGAGTGAGAACGGAAAACAATTAAAAATTAGCTGCAATCCTGGTGAGCTCTTCACCTTTGTACTACAAAGATGTGCTGAACCAAGTAAATTTATACCACCACCACCAATGAATGCCTTGCCCACCGCAGCACCTTTGGTCGAGCAAAATGTTAAACCAAATTTACCTAAACCCATGACATCGAATGGCGTATCACCACCTTTAGTAAATATACATCCACAACCACAGCCACAACCGCAACCACAACCACAACCAATAGATCATCAGCCACCAATTATTGCTCCAGAACGTCCACCAGTTTTGGAACATCCTATTCATGAACCATCAGTTGTTGAACCAATTGTTGATCACAATACTGCAGGTGCTGCTGGAGAGGAAGATGCAGCTGTTGCAGTGAAACCAAAGCCACAAATACCAGCTAAACCTGGCAAACCAGCTGGAACCTCTGTGCCATTACCTCCAACACCAGCTCCAACGCCTCCAATGGTACCAGTACCAGGCAAAGAAAATTCACCAAGTAAAAAGAAACCAACAACTTCCCCAAAGAAGCAAACTACATCAAAATCTAATAAGAATAAGAAGAAGGCTGGTACTAAACCAAAGACTCCAAAGAAACCAGTGGCAAAAAAACAAGTCCCTAAAAAACCCACACAGGCGTAAGAGCATATTAGCTTTTAACTCTTGCTAATATGATTTAATAATCAGTTCAAATTTTTTTTTTTTAATTTTATTATAAATTAATAATAAACATTACGCAGCGGAATTTCTACATAAAAATTTATATTTTCATAATGAATTACTTCTCCTTAAAACATTGAAAGTGTTAACATCTCTTTAACTTAAAAATCTTTTTTCTAAGTGTGAGCTTTTGAATGTTCCTTTCTAGTATCCAATGTGTAATCGGTGGTTTTCGAGCTACAGATAATGTTAGAATATTTAAAGTTTAGTTAATTTATTAGAACTGGGTACAGTTGACTTAACATAAGTTAAAAGATGTGTTTTTAAAGCCACATCGATCGATAGAGACGGTTAAGGAGTTGAGGTAAAACTCACATAGGTTTGAGTTTTGAGTCTCGTTGTGAGTCCCAATTTTTTTCATATTTAGCATTATACTTTGTGGTATAATAATTTAAAAAAAAATAATAATAGCTACTTTATTGGATAGAAAATGCAGAGAAAATTTCTAAGTTACTTTAAAAGATCATGCGATTTAATTATAGTATATTAAAAAGTATGAGTAATAATATGAGTAAATTAGTAAAAAATACACAATTAATTAAAAAGTATAATCATTATAATTATCATAATTTTAAAACACTTTAATTAAATTTATGTAATTACTGTAAAACGGGTGTATTGATTGCATGTTAATAGCTGATATTGTTTTAAAAAAAATAGTACATGTAGTATAGATACTTATAAAATTTTTCATAATGAAGTTGTTAGTTGTAATCTATTCCTATACATTTTATGACATTTCGATAATACAAACTATTATTCACCATGTTATATTTCATATATTTGAAGATAATTAACCTTACTTTATTTATTTGTAGGTTTTAGGAACATTAATAGACTAACTTATTCATATTTATTATTATTATTAAAATTATTGACGTGAAATCGTCCAACAACCGGTACCGTAGAGTAGAAGAGTCTTATTGTGCCAATTTTACTATTAATTACACAAAGACCTTTAAAGCTTTGTGAACAAAGTCCAGAACTAAACCTAGAGAAGCACTTTGTCCTGGTGACAGAAATTCCATATTCATATTTTGTTATGATAATATTTAAATAATAAGTATAATATCTTCTAAGTCCCAACTAAAAGACTTCGTAGAAAGACGTTGTGCTCATAGATTATTTATGTTGGAGATATTTGAGCTAATGCACTTGAGCACTTTTACTCTTTATCAACTCGAGGTATCTTCAAAAGCCCTGTTTACGCCTTGACTGGATTATTGTTTATCACTACATCAGACTAAGCAATAATTGACCTCAGATCTGCATACCTCATAGATTATGCTATATAGTTTATATAGTTTTTTTTCTGTCATATTTTAATCAATAATCCTGAAACGTGGTAATTGTTATTTTATGCCCAGAGTAGAATAGGCACTTTTTTTACATTATTCCTCTTAAAATAGTCCAAGAAATTTGAATTCCTATGTCTTCGTTTTCTCGTTCATTTCAAAAGAAAGATGTCGCTTATTTTTATGTGTAAAATTGGTTTTTGTAAATTTAAATAAATAATAAACAAAATATTTTAATCAGCGAATAATAAGTATTGCATCGTCCTCGAAAACTCAGTTAATCTAATTGGTAAGAAAAAAACCAATTTACGAATATTGTAATAATATTATTTAATATTAATGTAGAAAAAAGTGATTACAACACCGAAAGACAATCTGTTAAAATTAAATAAGTTGTACACTTCAAATCTCAGACGCTATATGAAGTCAAGAGCTGAAATCCAAAACTGATTGAAGTGCTAAAATTGCCATATAAAATAAATTTTATTGTTAAATATAAATTTTATTAGCATATGAGAGAGCAGATTGCCATGAAATACTCTATTCTTATCTGATAATCTTGTATACATTTTATTTCTCAAAAATTTTAAATACATGCTACGAAAGTATTTCGTCAGTTAGACTTAAAGATAAGAACAGATTGAATGAAGAAACAATTAGATGTAAAATATAAACTAGAGCTTAAAAGACAAAACTAATTAACTAGGTTAAACTATATAGATGGGAAACTAAAATATAATAAATAAATGTATATTTTTGTAATAAACAGCAATTAGTTGTATATCTAATTAGTTTAGTAAAAGTATAAATGGTTTTAGTAATTTAAATTTATAAGCTATCAAATAAGTGATTTTTAAACTCTCCCACACATTATTTTCACATTATGATAAAATAAGAGGTATATTAAATTTATGAAGACTCTATAAATCAAATAAGTATTCTACTCATAAAATGTTTGGAATAATGTAAATAAATTACAAATAGTTATTATTCTCGAATATTTATTTTCTTTTTTTCAAATAATCTCCATTCGTTCATAGCAATCGCTAAAATTTTAGCATCACTATTAGTTTTACAATGTTTACACTATCTTTGAATTTATAGTTTAACTTGATTAAAATAGTTAAGTTGGTTCTATTCCTCCACTTTATTTGCAAATAAATGCTGCTCTACACTTATTCTCAAGTCATCTGCATTGTTTGGAGGAAAAGTTTAACAGGAAGCTAAACTAAAATATCTTGTGGCAGTGTCAGCATATTCCCTTCTATTCATTGATGTCTGGGTACCTAGAATAGTATCTAGGGAATTGTATTTACTCCTTTCTGCGTATTGAATGATTAACCGCACACATATATTTGATCTTGCAAATAATATCATTGCTGTTATCAACAGTAATTATAAATATTGTATGGGTCTTTCAATTGCGAAGTTCTCGACCAATGATACAAAGAATGTAGTATTCATTCTTTTTTGAATATATATATTCATTTCATAGTGATTTGAAATCTAATTTGAATGTGGAAAGTTTTTATGGTTACATGTGCATGTTAAAAAAATACTAGATTCGGTGTAATACAGATCGTTAAATTTATCATTTAGTTTACTTAGTTATAAAAAATATATCTAAAAATTATTAGTTGTTATATATCTTAAGTGAATATCGCTTAAACTGCATACTTCGATACTTTTCATAGAACAGGCATATAATATGCGATATATTATATGCTTGATAATATGCGATATATAAAAACACTTTTTATTATTTTTATTTTAATTCGAATTACTTAAAATTGGTAAATAAGATTAATTTGATTATTTAGTTAATTTTATAAAGATGTGTTAGTATAAATTATGATAAAAAGTATTGCAACTAACTATTATCATCTAGTATAACAATTATAAAGCTCATGCAATCTAATATTACTATAGTAATACATATATATAGTAATTTATAGCATGATATTAATTAATTTGTCAAATTTATGTTTATTATTTAGTTTTAAAATGTTGAACTTAATTATAATATTATAATTACTTTTAAATATAATTGATCTCGAAAGCGTTTATTAATAGATTTAATGAGTTATAATTACTAGAGTTCACTTCCGTATGTAGGGTGCCGAATATAGAGGGATAAACTGACACTCAGACATAAATTACAACTAATTATTTAGCTCGAAAAATAAAAAATTATCAAATTCTATAATATGCAAATTTTTTTTTATTTAAATATTTACGAGATTAAAAATCACACTTAATGTATTTTGTTTTTGTAGACAATTGTTCTCACATGAAGTAGAAATATATAAAAGCTGCTGATATTTAGCAGAATTTATTATAAATATTTTATATTTCACATCGTACACTTTATTTGCTTTCAATAATGAAGTTCTTGAGTTTATTTGCAATTTTCTTAGTTATTTGCCTGTCCATACAATTGAACTCATGCGAAGAGAATGATGGTTCGTTATTGCTTAATAGGTTCAAGGTAAATATAATGGAAATATAACAAAATAATCGCAATTATTTAAAATATATTAATTTTTTAAGTCATTTACTGAAAAAAAATATTTAAATTTATTTATTCGTAATAATATGAATTATATTTTTAGCGAGCCAGTTGTGGACGACACGGTGATCCTTGTGTTTCGGACTCACAATGTTGTGCTAACATAAAATGCCATAGATATGCAAACAGATGTCAAGTTACTATAACCGAGGAGGAACTGATAGCCGGTAAACGAAATTTGAAGCATGTAGAAATTCAGAATTAATTTCTTTACTAAAATCGATTTATTATTATGTTTTTTGTGACTAATTAACATAATTAGCATTGATGTACATTTCAAGAATATGAATTTAGAATGTAATAAATAAAAACGTAGCTTCATATATTTAAACTTGTTTTAGTATTAGGTAATTGATAATTTTTATTGTAAAATTTACGAAATGTAAAATATTACACTGTCTGAGAATTAAAATAAATTATATTAATACATATTATATACATTTTTTAATTAGTTTGTATAGAAACTGTAACTGCTGATTCATTTTTAACACGAAAAATTATGTCAATATATATTTTCTAAAAATGAATAACGAGGTTTTTCGAACAGTAGTGAGCTACAACAACAAAAAATCATTTTATATTATTTTAATTAATAGAATTTTTGGCTGACCATACAGCTGTTTCGAATATTACCAAATACCCATTATCAGTGTTCTTGGAAATAATTCTTGTATTTAATTATTCCGAATCGAACTCGTGCCCTGCAAAATTTGAAGCTCAGAGTCAGCGCTCCGAAACCAACGGACCCAAAACCGTACTTGACTTTTAAGTTCGCACATTTTTCTGAAGTTTTGTTACTTTGCTGTGAAAGTTTTCTTAATAAATTCTCTTGGTGTGTTTATATTAGAACGACATCATAAACCAGCTGTAAAATAATTGAATTAATTATTTATATTTTTTATTTTTAACTATTCTGTTCGTGGAGGAGGCATTATTTGTTGCATGATATCGATATTCTTTCTTATGTATAGAACCTAATCTAGGAACGTAATTCTAAGAAAGTCATGCTAATGTTACAAAATTAGTAGTCTTAATACAGCAAACAGCTGTTTACTATTTGAAACATGTGGAATCTTAAACATTTGGTCATATGTATATATATCTCTAGATATCTGATCTGAATAGAGCATATTAAATTTTTTATGATGATTGTTATTATATAAATAATAAATGGAATAGAAAATGCTATTTGGATAACGGACTCTTTCTATTGGTTTTATTCAGAGTAGTTTAGCAATCTTAATGAATGAAACGTTTGGGATTTGTGTGGAATTAAATAAGCTTAAAAACCAGTTTGCAACTCTACTATTTTAGTCTTACCATATCTTACTATATGTTACAAAATTTCAATTTTCAATATATACTACGAACACTTGAAGGAAGATAAAAATACATTCTCTTTTATTTATAAATTCCAAAATTCTCTTATATGTAAAATTAAACATTTATAATGATCTTTTTGTGTGAATTTTATAATCAATACTGTGATTAAAACTGTGTGTCAAGTCTAATACCTGGAACTTGCTGTTCAAATATTATGTATGGACAGGCCACTGAATATTTTAAAAGAGCAATGATGAACGACACTTAATAATACCATGCAACTGTTTACTGCATAATCGGCCAATAAAATTGATTAGATTTTAAAATAATTATTAGCACAGTTAGAAAATATCCTAAGAATTATTGCAGGATTATTGACCGGTCACCTGTAGATTGAATAATCACCTAACGAAATTAAGAATTCAATGCAACTCAAACTGCAGATACTGTAGAGAAGAGAGAGAAACTGCTTACCATGGGGAAGCTTACTTACTCCCCAAGTGCCCGGCACTGATGCACAAGCGGAAGAAATACATAGGAGGGTATTTCATGGATCATAAGGATCCAAGACGAGAGAAGTTAGGCTGTATACTGTCTTTCATTGAAAAAATCGGACTTGGAGAAACACTCTATTCCGACTAAGGGGTACACTAGCTCTTTTAAGTCGTACTGCAGTATTCTTTCCTTTTCAATAATTATAATAATAAACGTAATTATTTAATATATATTTTGATATATTTTTTAATATATTCTCTAAATAAAAGTTAAAAGTTTTGTCATCTATTCCATGGCAAAAACTCCAAATAGAATTTTTTTAGGTAGATTCAATGCCAAGACTATCAATTATATCATTACTCCAACATTGCTCATTTAATGTGTCACATATTCAGATAGCTAGCTACTTATATTTTGCATACTATTAAAAATATATTGCAACGCTAATAAAATTAAATTGAACTTTTAACTGAAACAAAACTAATAGAAAGATAAACAAAGTTATGACTAATTTAATGATTAATTAAAGAACTGGTAAACGTGCGGTTAATTATTATCTCAACAACTAAGTGAAATTATTTACAATAATTCTGTGAATTTGTTTAGATACATTTGATACATAATAAATATATATAGTTCACTTAAAAACTGATTTGTTATAAAGTTCATTAAATGTTAGTTGACTTATAATGTATTTTCTGAATCCACTAATATATGTGCATAATTATCTATAAGCCGTTTTTTTTATCTGAAATATTTTATATAACCGAAAATAAGTTCAGAAAATAATTTTAAAAAAGATTATTTTAAAATGTTTATTTAATTGTTAAAAAATCTTTCTTTAAAGACAAAATTTTCTTAACTTCATATTATATTAAATCTCCATATAAAATGATAATTGATAGATGTTTAAATTCATCAGAATAATAGATTGTATGGGAATTTACAATACAATACCCAGCAAATTGGAATGACAATAGAATATCAAAACTAATAATAAATCACAATTGTTTGGGATTTTATTTATAGATGTTTTTCTTAAGACATGCATTTTCTTTTGGGATATCCCTTAAATTCCTAAAGCTTAATGTAAGACTGTGTTCAGTCCAACAGTTTTATAGTAGGTTAATGTTTTTGATCATATAATTACCTGCCTTTTTATATCTTTATAAATTTTTTTGTGTTGATTTTAATGAAGTTTTTGTGTATTATTTTCTTATTTAATTGTCTGTCGAACAATACTTTTTTCAATCTCACCTACTATTTGATTTTCTTCTATTCATGCCACTTAATTGATATGCATCCATCTATGCAGTTTTTTTCTATGACTTCCTTACTTTTCAGAACATTGGTGATCAGAATTTTAAGTAGCAAATGCATACACAGCTTACTTCTTTCAAACCAGTATAGGGACATTATAGGGATAAGAAATCTTGCACTAATAATCTTAGAACAGACCAACATTGTTAAGCGGTAAGTAATCTTCATTTCTTTTGGAAAAGATCATAATTATTATCATACTATCTCAGACATCTGCATATCAACATATCAACTATCTAGTATATATCTATCTAGTATATATATATCATATATTGTATTTAATATAATTCATCGTCATTTTCATCGTTTTAACTTTATAATATTAACCCGACCGGAAATATACTTTGTAGGAAGTATCTAAAACATATATATTGCGAGCAATAAAAAACTAATTATAAAAGATAATTTTTCGATTTTTGTTAAAATCTTATCCAAATTAGTAATTATTTTGTACTACATAACGTGTAGTACATACATACATACATACTTAATATTTGTAATTCTTAATAATTCGCTTATCTTAGCGACTTTCAAGTAGTAACATAAAGCAAAAACCTTTAAGAATATGACTTTTCGATACAAGCCGAGAACAATAAAAAATTTCATGAACCATGACAAATTACTTTTAGATAATTCAATCAAGAATTTTGTACTTTTGTCATATCTGGAAGCATTGCTTCGAATGTCCACAAGGCGGTTATAGATTAAGCAAAATTGGTATTTTGCGAGAGGTGTCATTTCATTTGCTGTTTTTTTTTCTGTTTTTTACACGCATTAATCTAAAAAACTTGATTAAAAATGATCGAAGAAAATCAATTACAAGTTATGAATGAAGTTCCATAAAAACGGATGGTATTTCGAAATTGAAGCAGTTTATTTTGTAAAGCGTTAAGTGAACGACACCAAAATGAAATCAGGTAATAAAATTTGGATACATATTGAACCAAAAGTACATAAATTTCGGAATACATATTTTATTGACAAATGTGAGAGTGAAAAATCGGGCAATGTGCATATCAAGGACTATAAGGATATTAATAATAGTGGAGATGAAAATCTGTTCAAAATTTAAATTATGCCTTGTATATTGTGCAAATATAATTGAAAATACAAAATTTATACATACCATTGTATATAAGTATAAAAAACATAACATTACAGTGTATTTTTACTGATTTGAATTAACAACTTATTTAATAGATAAATTAATTTTAAAAATTTATAAAAATATGGAAAGTGTAGCTCTACATTTTATTTTTAAAATATAATAATTAAAGAAGTGACTAATATACAAATAATTTATTTAATAATTAGTATTTAATGATTTTAACAACTTTTTGTTGTATTTATTGATATATACACATATACAGTAAAACCTCGATTTAAAAGAGGCTCTTGTAAATGGATACCACATTTTTCTTCACCAAATAAAAACGCTTAAAAGAGCTTTTTCTGTATCGTTTTGTTTTTTATTATATTAGTTACATTAAACACTGTTCTTTTAAGAAATAATTAAATATATCAGATTTTTTTATATTTATTCAGGGAAATTTTACATTATGAATATATTAGTATATTCAGTAGTCAATATAATATTTAATTTATTTATATTAAGTTTTTAAATTTTGATGTTTTTTTCTTAATTTACATTATTATAATTAACTATTCTATAATTAGTTTTCGCAACCCAAGGGGGTTCAAAAGCCCTATTGTAGATGAATGCATCTAATTTAATTAGAGTTAGAACAATTTTACAATAAAACCATTTAAATTTATAAATAAATTTATTTCGCATTATTTTTATATATTAAAAATTTAATTATAAACTTATAACATATAGTGTTATTTACAATAAATACTTTCTAAGAATCGTTATTAATAATATATATATGAAACGAAGATACAAACCAAGACTTTTTTATATATAATTTTATTTATGATATTTAGATCAAATACGAAAATAATTGATGTGAAATTAATAAATTACTTATTTATCAAGTAAAAGTAATTATATTTCCTTAAATATGCGGTATATTATATTACTCATACATTTAATTACTCATAAATGAAAATATTTTATTTCAAATTTTTAAAGTCTTATAGTGATATAATGCGATGCAAAATAGTTGCAATACATACATATAATTTTATTTACAACAATAAATATCAATATTTCTTTGTTTTTAGTACTTACGCTTGTCGGCATTTTGCTTATAACTCATTATACCAACGCACAGTGCTCTGTTAAAGAGTTTAGTACCACATTAAACCCAGCTTGTGACGCCAATGACGTTTATGTTAAATGGCCAAATTATGAAGATCAATATACCTACTATCAATGTAAGGGCATTGGCAATCCAGTACTTGTAAATTGCGCAAGTGGAAAAGTTTTCACATATGTCCTTCAACAATGTACTGCTTGTTCGGATTATATTCCACCCGTACCATGTGATGAATTAAAAACCCAAAAGACACCAAATTGTGTAGCAATAGGTTCGGGTGGCACATCAACGCCATCACCTGCTACTGGTTATCCAACACCAATTCAACCGGAAGAAACTACAGTTACCACAAAGGCAACAACAACTAAAGCTCCAACCACTACGAAAGCACCTGCGACAACAACACCTTCTGTACCAACCCCACCCACTGATGCAACAACTGTGACATCAGGCACAACGTTAATACCACCTCCTCCTTCACCTGCTGACACAGCTACAAATGTACCTATGCCGCCAACACCAGAACCAACTCCGCCAAGTGTTTCAGTTGAACCACCTTATGTACCCAGTCCTTAAACCAATCGAAAACTAAAACCGTTACATGCAGAAATAAAACCTTTAATACTGGTAGACTGCAGTTAATATAAAAGTATTCCATTAATCTCTTTCAAAATTAACCGAATTCAAAAATTTCCTCCTTAAATTAAGCAAAACAAAATAAAAACGTGAAAAATTTATAAATATTATTACAACTAAATAGCACAGACATATTAATGCTTTCCTATCAATGCTTCTATGCATTTCGTTATTTAAAATTCTTAAAAATTTTGTTGTGATTACAGTGTACACTTCAAAACGTTAAGATTTTATAATAAAATATAATATTTCAAAAACAAATTTTTATTGTTTCGAATAATAATTTTAATAAAACAACATTGATTTTAATTAGGGTATTAATTTTTTTTATATAATATAAAATATACCAAAATCCGTATATATATATACATATGTATATATTAATAGTTTAACTTAAGCTATCTCAGTCAGTAGAAATGACGTCATACATTGTATATCCCAGTAGACTACACAATATAATGTTAAAAAATATATTCGCTTAATACAAAATATTTCGAAAAATTTTTGTTTTATAAATAGATTTATAGACTTTTTTTGACAGCTGAGCTATTTGCCCGATCTACTCCACGTTTATAAATATGTTTCAATACTTGAAGCATTAAAAATTTTATTTTAAAAATTTTAATATTATAAATACTTTTTTTTAATTATAGTTCTTGTTGTTGTTTGTGTCATCGCCTTATTCCAGTACGTAAATTGTCAATGTACAGTGAAACAATTTTCAACATATTTGGTACCAACTTGCGATCCTAACGATGTTTATGTTAAATGGCCAAATTATCAAAATCAATATAGCTATTATATTTGTAATGGTGTAAATAATCCAGCTTTAAAAAATTGTGCAAGCAATCAAGTTTTTACATATGTATTACAAGAATGCACAAGCTGCGACAGTTATATACCTCCACCACCATGTGAAAAGCTACCAACTCAACATACTCCAGATTGTGAATATTTATCAACAATATCGACTCTAGGAACAACTACAAAATCTCCTATAATAACAGAACTTCCATTTTCCTCAGCTTCAACTGCAGCTTCAACTGCAGCTTCAACTGCAGCTCCAACAACAGTTACAACTCCAATTCCTACTACATTCACAATTTCAACTTCAGCTGATACTACATTCCCGGGACCACCATCACCAGCTACTTCCAATACAGATGTACCTATGCCTCCCACACCTGAGCCGACTCCCCCTAGCATCTCAGTAGCACCACCATCTGTTGGTTAGAAAAGGAATAGGAGGATGGATCGATAAAAAAAAAATGATAAAAATATTCAGGATATAATTGTTACGCTGATTCTGGTGTTGGGAAATTGTTG